AATAGATGATGAAAATATATTGTAAAACCCTACACCATAAACTGTAAATTGATAATGTACTGTTTCATTTATAGAATAGGAAATTTAAAGAGAGATTTCCCTTCACTTCCTGTCCCATAGCCAAACTGGAAGTGAAAGGAAATCCTTGTAAATTATGGGAGTTCCTTGGGGACCCCCAGGTCACCAGAACTAATGTCCCCATTGGAATATTTTTCCTCTATTACTGTCCTGGGGACAACCCAAAATTTTTGTTTTTTTTTCTTTTACTTTCACTTTCAATGAATATGGTAAAAACAGGACAAATAGAGAGGGAGAATCTCCCTAATGGGGGCACAGAGAGCAATAAAAACTGACAGGTGTTCTAATCCCTCTCCACCCTATTCAGAAACTAAAAAAAAAAAAAAAAAAAAAAAAAAAAAAAAAAAAAGGGGTTGGGGTTTGCCTTTAGTCACACTTTAAAACTTCCTAACCAGTATTAAAATCTCCAAAAACGAAGCATCAATAAAAATATAAATATATAGAAGTTTTACATCTTAAATCATTGTTTTAAAATTAATGTTTTTAAAAAGAAAAAAAAAAAACAGTTGCATAAACTGTCTAATAGGGGAACAGTAGAAAAAGTGACCAATAGGGGAACAATTATCAACTTCATGACCACAAGATCTTTTACATTTTAAATCATTGTTTTAAAATTAATGTTTTTAAAAAAGAAAAAAAACAGTTGGATAAACTGTCTAATAGGGGAACAGAAGAAGAAGTGACCAATAGAATGAACAATTATCAACTGCATGACTTTAAGATCTTCATTGAGACCTTTTGGTACCAAAGTAATTAACCACTTGCACTCCTGAGGAGTTACCCCCCTTAAATAACCAGGCCTTTTTTTGCTGTTTGGCGCTGCACTAATTCAACTGATAATTGCGCGGTCATGCAATGCTGTACCCAAACTAAGTTTATGTCCTTTTTTTCCCACAAATAGAGCTTTCTTTTGGTGGTAATTGATCACCTGTGCGCTTTTTATTTTTTGCGCTATAAACAAAAAAAAAAAATGAATATTTTGAAAAAAAAAACAACAATATTTTCTAGTTTCAGCTATAAAAAGTATATCATAAACTCAAAGTTAGTCAAAAATTTAAGCCAAAATGTATTCTGCTACATGTTTTTGGTAAAAAATCCCAATAAGTTTATATTGATTGCTTTGTGGGAAAGTTATCGTGTTTACAAACTACTATGGTATAGATACTGTAATTTATGCCATCTTTTGCTATACAGCCATTTTGGCCACTAAATTTATAGGTAGCTAGTGCGACCCATGGGAAAAAGAGTGCCTGGCTGTCAGGGACTGCTTGAACCGCTACAAAAAATTTACTGACAAGTGCTAACAGACATCAGGCCTGATTCTGTGAACACTGCGGTTTTGTGTGTAATATTAAGTGACAGTTATCTACTGACACTGCACTTGCTGGGGGAGAAGGGGGGGTGGCGTAGGGGCTAAACGCAGGTGCTGGCAGGTGTCGGGGCTGATCCCGCTAATGCTGCGTGTTTGGGGATACTATAGTAATGTGAACGCTAGTATAGCGCTGATGTGATCAAAGATATTGATCCATTCAGACACTATACTAGCAATGGAGGTTTAGCTTGCAAGTGAGTGTGTTCCTGGCAATCAAGGGGTCAAATGTGATTACTTGTGTACTAGCGGCAATCTGACGCTATCTGGGAGTGGTGCTAACTGACGCTAACACTATCGGAAGTCGCCAGTAACATTAATACAGTGGTCAGTAAAAATATCTGTTCACTGTAATCAATGACACTGGTGACAGGGCAGTGAAGAGGTTAACTGGGGGGGGGGGATCAAGGGGTTAAATGGGATTACTGGTGTACTAGCAGGCAAACTGGCGCTATCTCGGAGGGCCGCTAACTGACGCTAACACTATCGGAAGTCGCCAGGGACACTAATACCTTGATCAGTAAAAATCTGTTCACTGTAATCAATGACACTGGTGACAGGGCAGTGGAGGGGTTAACTGGGGGGTGAGGGCGATCAAGGGGTTAAATGCTATTACTGGTGTAATAACGGGCAAACTGGCGCTATCTGGGAGGGGTGCTAACACTATTGGAAGTCGCCAGCGACACTGATACAGTGATCAGTAAAAATATATTCACTGTGATCAATGACACTGGTGACAGGGCAGTGAAGGGGTTAACTGGGGGGGGGGCAATCAGGGGGTTAAATGTGACCTAGGTGTGTTCTAACTGTAAATGTGTAGTGTTTTACTCACGTTTACTGTGTGTTCTTCTCTCTCTGGGATGGAATGTGCCCAGGCAGAGAAGAATGACATATCCTGTCCTGTGTAAATGTCAACACAGGACAGGATAGGACTGGGACCGATCATCCGATTTCAGTCAGACATCACTGGCTGAAACCGAATGATTGATCCCTTGGGGATCAAATGGTAACAGCCGCGGGTCGGGGGGGGGGGCGTGTGCACGCCCCCCCTGCCCACGAAAACCTCGGGAGCGTGGAGCACATTTAAAAACGTGCTTTTGCACAGCCGTGCCACCCTGCCGCCGTTTTAATACAGTGGCTGGGCGGCAAGAGATTAAATGGTGAATCCAAAAAGTCTCCTTCCAACATACTCTTTGTTTCCTTTCTACATGAGAGTCACTTGCTTCAATACCAAACACCTTGAGGCCTAACGGATCATTATTATATTTCTGGCGAGCTATTGAATGTTTGCCACTGCCTTTAAGAATGTTAACAATGTTTAAGAATGTTATGCACCCCAAAACATACTCTCAATATACATGTATAAAAGAGACCACACTAATAGATAAGGCCATAGGCAACAAGCTGTGTCTTACAGTTAATAAAATGTTTAATTGGATGGACTTTGCCATCAGTACCCATGAGCTCCTTCTTCCTGTGCCACTTGTGCTTACAGGCACTCCAGTTTACAACCCCACACCTGTAGCTTTCCCTAGCCTCTCATAGATATGTCTTCCTATCCTGGATGACTAGGCACCTCCTTTATCTGCTTGTTTGATTTTAATAAGTGGAATTAGACTTCAAACGGTAATATATGACATATGTGATGAATGGTCCCTCTAAGCTTTTTCACAGATTTTCGCAATCTCAGAGTACACTATTTCATAAAAGTGGAGATGAGGTTTCCACTAGCTTATTGTGAATGGAAAGTAGACTTTGGCTTGAAGGAATTGTGGTTATTTAAGTCTATATTAGTCACATCCTAAGGGGGGGTCTAGAGCCCTGGTGCCCAACCTGCGGCCTGAAAGCCACATTCAACCCTTTTGTACTTGCTCTGAGACACTTTGCAGGACCCAGCAGTCAATAGGGGATGCAATTGTTTGTAAAGAAGCTTAAATGGCAGTGAACTCTAGCAGTCTCATGTATCATGTCCCCTATTTCTATCTCATGTAGTGTCTATTCACACTCCAACCCATGTTACATGTATGCAGTCCCTGTTAACTTCATGTAGTATGTCTGAAGTCTCTGACAGTATTCTATTGTATACTGAACATTGTGGGGTTGATTTACCAAAACTGAAGAGGCAAAAAATGGTGCAGCTCTGCATATAAGCCAATCAGTTTCCAGGTTTTATTGTGAAAGCTGAATTGAACAAGCTGCAGTTAGAAGCTGATTGGCTACCATGAATAGCTGCACCATATTTTGCACTCTCCATTAGTAAATCAACCCCAATGTGCGGTTCTTGGTACTGCCAGGGGCCATAGTTGAGGCCCCCACTCCTTGTATGTTAACAACCACCCCCTACGCCCTCTCCAGCAATAGATCCACCAAGGTGTTTCGGGCAGCCAAATCCTGTTCTTCTATATCCTCAAAATATTCAACAGTATCTCCCATCTCACTTTCCCTACTGTTCTGCTTGATATTATAGTTACATTTTTAAGTGTTACTAAACCCACAAGTAAAATAAGTCTGTGTATGCAGTAAAGCATGCTTGACATACTCACTGTGGGACCTAAGGGGTTAACCCTCTGCAATGTGTAAAAAAGCTGTTTGATCCTGACTTCTCTGATCCTCCCCTTCTTACAGTGTCCCCCTCTTACCACCTGATAAGACATATCATGTGGAGACACTCTGCACATGCTCAGTTTTGTGTATATTGCCAGAGAAGGTTTTTTTTTTTTCTTGGGAGAGTGCATGTGATCAGCGAAGGCCCAATCAGCACTGTCCAGAGAGAGGTCAGGGGTTCTGCATTCTCCTAGAGAAAAAAGTAAACTCCTCCTACAAGCTTTAACCAGTGCTCTGCTGAACACTGATAGAAGTCACAAGACTGCTCTAACTGTTGATGAAAAAAAGTATTTGGTAGTTTATACTTACTAAAATAATTGCATTTTCATGTTATGTGTACTCTGGGAGACCAGATATAGTGGATGGAGGGTCCTGGGATTAGTAACACTTTGATGATGTATTCCTTGTAAATGTGTACAAATAGATAAAGAGCTCAAATAAGTTAAGGAGATTTGGAGGAGCAAAATTTAATAATTTCTGTAAAAGATTAGTCTCTGCCTCAGTGAAGGTAAAGCTGAAAAGATTGAAGATTTTATTGGTTGAGAGGTTTTGCCCTACAGCTATTCTCATTTTGGAATGTGAACCTCCCCTTCTTCCATGTCTGTTTTGTCTGGTCCAGCTTGGAGTAAGACCTGACCAGACATTGTATTTTGTAATATTTTGTAGATGTCACATTGATTTCTCAATACTGTTTGTCCGATTTTTACATTACACTTTGTTGTCTGAATATAATTACAAATGGCAAAAGACTTTAAAAGGGCATCCCAGATGGTGAACAGTAGTAGACCATGAATATGGATTGAAACATTTTCTTTTAAACTTGTTTGTGTGTTGTAGGACTCTGAGGGACAAACATTGCTCATGCAGTAGCCCCTACCTGATTGGAGAAGGTCTGCTTTGGATTGATCATGTGGTCTAAGTGTTAGTACCAGGGGCGGACTGACAACTCATGGGGCCCCCGGGCAATAGGGGATCATGGGGCCCCTGTGTTCTTGCTCAAACTCAAAAAAGCCTATGAAAAAGGTACCAGGGGCATCTCATGGGGCCCCCTACTGACCCCGGGCCCTCGGGCAGTGCCCAAGTTTCCAAATGGTCAGTCTGCCCCTGGTTAGTAGATTTAAATGTTAATGTGACATGAAGATGAACTATGCTCTAAAAGAATAGGGTTTGACCCTTGAAACACTACAGCAGCATGTGAATCTGAGTTATGCCTAGGTCTCGGTGATATGCTTCCATATCCATCTTCTTGTCACTTGGGTCTTGCTATATTTGATGCTTTTAGCCTTTAGCTAATTTTCACTGGCATTTAAATGAATCTTTACTAGTGACAATTCTTTCCTCAAGACTACCGAACATGAAATTCTGACTTTCCTTCGAAATAATAATCTAAAAAAAAAACCTCATATGCTACCAACGGGGCACCTCAGAAAGCAACTAATTATGGTAAAAGTATACAATCATCCTATTGAATTAAAAAATTATGATTGTCAACAATTCAACATAAAGAAACTGAACTAAAATAATTACTAAAAGATAGAAAGAATCCTGAACTCAACCTTAGACCTAAAAAAGAAGGTTAAAACCTGTTTGAACCCCTGTTCAGCAGTTATCACAGTTAAAGTTATATACCCAGAGAGATAGACCACTGACTCATTCCTAGACCTAACATTGCTAACACTTGCTAAAATATGTGTCTTTCTAATGGAACTTTAACACAACATCCCCAATCCATTACTGAAGAATATTAAATATCTTACACATCACTTTTTCAAAACCAAAAACAAATATTCAAAATTAGCTGAAAAATTGTTTGCACAATTGAAATGGCCAATTTTAGATTCTCTGGAATATATTATAAAAATGTTTGCAGATATTCTAGCTCTATACCTGTGGTTATTTCAGTAGCATTTGAAATGGCTGTTCCATTATTCCAACAGAAAATTTGGCTTACATACACATTCACTCAAAGGAAAAAAACATCTATCAAACTGCTCAAATTATCACTCTGTTCCCCTTATTAATACGTATCTTAAATTGTTAAATACATTATTGCTAATAGGATTAATGCATTCATATCATGTTATATACATACAGATTAGGTTGGTTTTGTTCCTGGTCACCATACATACCATCAGAGCAGAAGTCTATATTTTAGGGCTTTTTCACTTTGGAGAAATTTGGATTTAGACATTCATTACAAATTTATAATCCTTTACAATAATTGTGACATATTTTATCCATTGATGTTTACAGATCTCAAAAGATGTATATCAGTAGAGGCACTCATCAAGGATGTTCTCTATCTACAATCCTTTTTATATTGGTCATTGAACTATTGGCTTCAGACATCTGTGAAAATTCAAAAATAAAGGGTTTTTCAACAGGAGGTCGAAAACATAAATATGCATTTTTTGAAGATGACATTTTGAGATGCCTTACTTCCCCTACAATATCTATCCTGAACTTATTGAAGTTATTACAATTTTTTTATACCATTTCAAGACTGCAGCTAAATGATTCTAAATCACAGACCATGAACATGGATGTACAAAATATGATATATATATTTCCTACTTGGGTGTACAATTAACACCTTCTTTTCATACACTTTATCACCTAAACTACACTCCTTTGTTAAGGTTTGAATGCCTTTGTGCTATAAAAATTAATATTCCGCTTAAACCACTCTATGTTCTCATACTCTTCCAATAACTATAGTTTAAAAATTTAGATTTCTTTAAATTCAAATTATTTAAATTTGTATGGAGTAAAATCTAACACAGAATTTGCTAATCACTTTAAAAACAACTCTTCTACCAAATCATTCAACACTTTCCTCTTTTGCCTCTGTTACCACAGAGAACTCTACAACTCTACCACCTCCTCTCCTCTTTCCATAAGGATCCTCCAAGGCTCTGTCCTCAAGCTCCTTCTATTCTATATCTATACCTCCTCCCTGGGTTGGTTGATAACCTCCCACAGTTTCCAATACCATCTCTATGCTCGAGTCACCCAAATCTATATCTCCACTCCTCATCTCACGCCAGCCTCCTCACTCATCACTAACTTAATAATTGACAAATGTGTATTAATGTTTTGACACTTTGGCAATTTAAATATTTCTAAAACTGAGTTAATAATATTTCTTAACCCCATGTCCCCTCTCCCAACTTCTCTATTGAGATCAAAGGCACTGCAATAAATTGCACCCCTCAGGCCAGGGTGCTAGGTGCAATCCTGGACTCTAACCTCTCCTTTTGACACCACATCTAATCATTGTCCCAATCTTGCCACCTTTATCACTGTAAAATATCCAAAATACACTCCTTCTTAACAAGTTATACCACAAAGCTTCTAATTCACAGCCTCGTTATTGCTCACCTTGATTATTTCAAATCCTACTTGGTTAGCCTACACAAGCTATCCCCTCCTCCACCTTGAATAGTGCTGCCAGACTCTTCTAACTAATCAACTTCTCATTGTCCCATCCCTCTCTGACAATCCCTCCACTGGCTACCACCCACCCAAAGCATAAGATTAAAAAACTAACCACAACATACAAAGTCATCCACAACTCTTCCACGAGCTACATTATCAGCATCATCTCAAAATATCACCCAAACCTTCACCTTAGTTCCTTCCAAGATATCCAATTTTTTTAGCCCGCTCACTATCTCGTTCCACGCTCATCTCCAAGAATTCTTCAGAGCTTCTCCCTACCTCTGGCTATCTCATTCCCCCACAGTTATTACCTTTTTTCTAACTTGCTTATTCCCTTAGATTGACAAGCAGGGCCCTGAACCATCATGCATTGGATTGGAATGTAACTGCACTGTTTCTTTTAATTTGTAAAGTTCTGCACAAACTGTTGACACTATAAAAATCCTACATAATATTATTAATGTTAAAAATAATAATTACTATTTTACTCCTAATTCTATTCTACTATGAAAGAGAGTCCAGAATGAGAAGATGAAGTGTAGCAAAGTGACTGAGCTACCGAAGAAGAAAACAATGAGAAAGAATAACAGGCAGAGTAAATAAATATTATATAGTATGAGAAAAGTATAGCAAAATGATACTTTTTACCTTTGAAACTAAACTAAAACAGCTAAAATGTGTTAATTCATAAAAAGGTAATCATGTGTAGCCTGTTTCTTGCATAAATAAATAAAAAACTTGAAGACACTTGATGAAAATATTTATGCCACCTCTTGCATCACTTTCTGTTCTTCACAATTAAAGCTGTCACTATATTTCTGGTGCTGTGACAGCAAATGTACATCTCTTCAACAAACAGACCATGTTGTTCACTCCTCTTTTGTCTTGTCCATTCACAGAATATTTTGCATTTTGTAAATGGTTTCACAGAATACAAAGTGATCTGTAGCTGGATAAGGGGAGAAGAAAAATGATAGGATGGATTGCATGTACAAGATCTGAAAGTCACCTGTCTGGAAGTATAGCTTTTATTTTACTTCTTGACTTCAATTAAACTGTAAATTTTAAAGACCAGGCAGCAGTCCAGGAGGTGGAATCCACCTCTGATAAAACTCTTGGTAACCAAGCAGAGTTTTAAAAAAACACTTTTTTTTTCCTTTTTCAAGATTTCTGACTGTTCAAAAAAGTATATTAAACAATGGCTTCTCCATAAAGTAGAGAGGAGTGTGCTAAGACCTCATTTTTCTAAAGGGATAATGTAAGAAGTCATTGTTCCAGTCCAAATGTATAAATAAAATGGATATATTATAACTTTCTATCTCCAAGGGTTATCTGACAGAGATCATAAAGTCATCATCATATCCAAGACTGAACACAGTGTACAATTTTTTTGATCTATTAAATCTGCATATGAAAACCTAAAGTGATAGAACATTTCTTCAACAAAGAATAGTTTAAAAAAATATATATAGAGTATCCCTAAATAAAACAATTCAGTCACACTGACTGGTAAAAATGTGATATTGTGAGATAAGAAAATATTGCTATGCAAAAAAAATGGAACAGTTAAACAAATAGAAGTGTTTCCCAAGAAGGATGTTAGATCCATAACTCATTTTACAGGTGCAAATGCTTTATAAGCAGAAACAAGCCAGGTGTTCCCACTGCTATGATTATAATCCTTCTTTAGGTCACACTCATTCTGTTCCTATATCAAAATAACACAAATACATATGTAGGTTAAGCAAGTTGTAGTAATAGAATTGTTGCCAGTCTATTTAAAAAAAAAAGAGAGTAGTTTTAGTAATAAAAAAACACTAGAGATTCATTTTGCATGGAAATACCTGAATTAAGCACAAAGAGATAATATTCCAACTGTTAAAGTTAAAACTAACTGACACTGACAGACTGTCACATACCTTGTTGGAAGACAACTTGAGAGGGCTTCCCTTGTGGCTGAGCACTGAGCACCCCTGAAGGTGAGCTTAGGGAATGCAAGGCTCAAAGAAGCTCAGGTGCCTTTCAAGTAGTTCTGCTGGAGGACCAAGGCAGCGGCCAAAAGCAAGATGGCACCCAAGGTGTGTCAGGGTGAAAGCTAAGGTCATACATGGAGAGGCAAGCTGTAGAGCCAGGGAGGTGGCAGGAGCACTCCCCACAGTGATTTAAACCAGTCACTAGAGCCGTCTTATGCTGGAATCTGTGAGAAGCCCCTGGACACACAAAAGCTGAACACCTGAAGTGGAAGTCTGCTATTGATTGACTGATTTATATATATATGGACATTTATTGGTGGACTGGTTTTGCACACATTTTTTTTCACCTGGTGGAGACTATAGAAAAAAAATTTTTGTTTTACCCTGAAGAAGTCATGTGATCAGTGACGCAATGTGCAGGGTAGAGCCTAGTGCTGTCACTTCAGGTATTGCGCAAACCAGTATGCACAATGTGAGGAACTATTTTGGCTGATAGCTATGTATAAGCTTGCTATTTTATTACCATTGAATCCTGGAGTCTGTTCCCTTAAAGGGCCAGAGTCAAGGAAATAGCCACTAAAGGGCAGCATTGCATCAGCAGAAGTCAAT